ATAAATAATTATTAAATTTTTAAAAAATCAAAGAAAAATGGAAAATAAATACACCACAAGTATTATAGTAATTTCAATTTTTTGAGTGACCAAATACGCAACAAAACTAGCTCAAAATGACCACCAATCCAAAAAAGTTGGGGTTTGGACCAAAACCCGGAAAAGATGATACCACATGGACCATTGTTTTTGCAGTTTAATAAAAAAAAAACAATCAAACATGGGAATTGGGATCTGTTGGCATCCTTTTTTTCATCATCCATCATCAAGCTTCTCGCACGCACATAAGGACACACGACTGATCGAGTGAGTGACGATTTGTCAGACAGTCACCATCACACTAACCACCGCCTTTGACACCGCTGATAGCTTCAGAGCTCCTCCCCTGCCAGTCTGTCTCCCCCTTCAGTAGTCTATGATACGGTTGTGAGCATACTTTAAGATATAAGACATCGTACGATACAATTGCAAGAACTTTGGATCTTTTTTTGTTTATGCGATATTACGACCTGACCCACTACTAGTTTTTTTTTTTTTTGCACTCTTCCTTTTGTATCGGTTTCACTTAAATAGTGAACCATGGGAAATTCAGTTCTAGACTCGTCATTAGAGATAATAGTGCTAAAAAGAATTTGGTTTCTCTATGAAGGATTTCCATCAATCCATGCATGCCAACTTCTTTGGTGCGACAACTCTGGTGACTTGTACCTCACCTATGTGGAAAGTTAGGATGGATGATCCTCACAATCAATAATCGCATACGCATATGTACTATCCTTATCCAATCTCACATACCCACGCAATCCTTATATATGGCAATTGATCCTCTAAAATGGTACCATCTAAATCCATTTACAAAGCAATTCCATTTCACCAAACTACACGAGAAAAAATCATCCAACAATCATCTCCGTACCTTTGCTACCCAACCTTCATACTTCTCACAAACTCCACCCTCGGTCTACCACATGCATATTTCTTGGTCATCCTTCCAATCATTGTAGGTTTTGTTGCCTTGACATCTCTTCAAAGAAGGTTATTATCTATTTTCATGTAATATTTGACAAATATGATTTTCCATTCGCCTCCATGACACCAACTAACTCGATAAAATTAATTGCAAACAACCCCCAAAAGAATCACAAATGATGTACCTTGTCGCAACCTTGCACTCCGAAAGACTCCATTGACCTTCAAAAAGAAAAACATCTAACCCCCCTCACGACCATCGTTGATTGCCTTCAATCTATCTTTTTGATTCCTTTTATATTGGCTACCGTCTCCTTTATTCTTTGAGTTTTGTTCTAGTTCAAGTGTCTGGTACTATCTCATTTAAAGTGTAGGATCATATTAGTAATTTAGTATGTAACTATGTATTTGTATACTAGGCCCATGTGTATTTTGTCTATGTTGTAGGCCCAACCTATGTTTAAACATTGTATATGAAAGATCTTGTATGCTCAAGAGTCATTATAGAATGATATTGATAATAACATATGATCCTATAGGGTCACACCTTATAGCAAGTTATCATCAATTGATTATTTATTAGTATAATTTAATTATTTAGAAATATATCAACATTTGTATTTAATTGGAAAAACATTATTTTGAGAAATAATATTTTACCAACCTATTGGTAATTATTATTTCTAGGAAATAAT